TTTTTTTTTTTTTTTTTTTTTTTTTTTTTTTTTGTTTTGAATTTGAGATCTGCTGCATTTCCATGCTTTATACGTTGCAGCCATCTTGCTTTCTTCGTATTCTTGGTACTAGTCAACTGTGAGGCTTTTCCAAGGTAGCAGATAAGAGCGACATTAATTCAAATGTATCTCCAATGTAAAACCTAGAGGTGGAACAGTAGCTTGGAAGAAACAAAGAGTAGCATCTCTGTCACCTGTCTTAGTAATACTGTGTGTAGTTTCTCTGAAAAAGCAAGGTCAAACTGACAACTGTCCTTTTAAAACTTCTACTAGCTATGTAGGAACATCCATAGAAAGCAAGCTATTTAAATGAGAAAGTGCACTCTGGAAGGCTGAAGCCTGTAGGAAGAAAGATGCATATTTACTATTAAAGCCTGAAACATAACATCAAGGGTTAGGCTGTGGTCCTGTGTCTGAAGTGTTAAGTAAGCAGTGTTATCTTCATAAGCAGTTCTTCCATATCCCAATTTAAAAAACAAAGTCTGATTAATAAGAAGCAGTAATAAAATTCCTAAACAGTTCAGATTCTCAGTTCATGTCCTCAGCCAATCTTGATTTTAGACCCTTGAGTCAAAGTCAGAAATATCAGAAATTGTTATGGAGGAAATATTTTGTTTTACTAGTAGTTATGTGAATACATTTTTTTAATGGAGTCTAGGTTACCAAATAAGATGCTCTGATTTGGTTTCTCCCAGAACAGGAAGAACCTGTATTATTTGCTGTTGGCACTTGGCATACAACACCCAACTATATTCTGAGAACATGTCATCTAATAACTAAATGAAAAATCTTGTTGTTTATTGTAGGTCCAATGTAACATATATTAATATCATGGAGAACAATTTACAAATGTTGTGAAAGGTGGCAGAAGAATGAGATTACTTTATGTAAGTTGAGGTAAACTGTAAGATGCAAACTGTGTATTGTGTATATTAGTTTGAAGGTGATTTGTGTAGTGCTGGACTCCATTCCATAGACTTAGATTTGCTTAATTTTTCAGTCCATATCAATTTGGTAGGATTATTCACTTGTTTAATGTTAAGTAATGATATTGAAAACTTAATAACTAGTGGAGCAAGAAGGAAAGTTCCAGGAATTGATGTGGTCTCTTTTGTGAAATCTGTGTTATCTTCTAGTTATATCTCTTAGTTGTAGAATCTGGCATGGTTTGCAGAGAAATTAATGAACTTCTCTGTTAATGCAGTCATCAGCATTAAGTGATAAGGTTTTTTCATTCTACTGGAGTGCTGTATCAGAGTATTAACTTTGTTGGTTGATTTTTAACAGAAGGAAGTTACACATCTGAAGTTGAGCTACATTTTATCATTTATCAGTTCATGTATGTGCAAATGTGGGTATATGAATAATGATACAGATTATTCCCAATGACAGCCTCATTAATACAACTTATATCTGCAAAATGGTATCATTATGTGTAGAGTCACTTCACAGCACTTCAAACTCCAGTGCAGGTGAAGTAGTGTGGATAGGGTATCAGCCACTCAACACCCATAAGCCTCCACCTCCATGAAACATATGCTGATTATAAGACAGGTTTGATCTTCAGAGTGGGGCCTACAGGGTGAAATTGAAATGGATATAAACTTTCTTTGATCTACAGAACACAGAGAGAAGACATGCTTCCATTTCTTTGTGCCTCCTGTTTTCTCTTGTTGTTCTTGCCCTTTTCTTACCTCCTGCTTGCCCTCAGATGATCGGGGTGTTACAGGAATTTAAGATGTGAGAAAGTAGTCTTTCTGAGCAGTAAGTAAAATAGGGGGATAGTGTGGGCAAAAGAGGATAAGTGGTGTATAGGAAAAAAAGTATTAGGGATCTTAGGATGTACAGAGCATTGGCTTTTAAATATATTGGTGCTTGCAGACTTTCTGTGCCATTACTGCTTCACTTTCCCAGTCTATGGGGATAGAGGTACTTTTCCTAATTTTTATTAAGTGACACCATATCCTAAAAGAGTTTAATTGCTATACACGAGTCTCCTTCATGCAATTCCTTGATTTCTGACCGTATTTTTGCTTTATACATCTGGGTTTTCTGACAGGACTGAGATCTATCCTCTATAAAAACAACACTTACCTCTACTTAATACCTCAGACCTTTCCAAAATACAAGATGACTGATCATTTTCTATAATCACAGCTCATAAATTTATAATTCTAGGTGAAAATGCAAAAGTGCATAGGAATTACCATTATTAGATCAGACTCAGAAATTATGTGGTCTTCTCTCTGTACATGGATAGTAACAGATACTCTTAGAGACAGTATAGACTCCACGTATCTGCTTTCCTAGTGGATTTTATTCTAATTTCAAACATTTACACACTGATTAGTTCTAAAGTATGTTGTTTGACACCCATTCTAGTTTTTGTTGTCATTAGGTATTATAATTACTCATATGCTGATGGTGCAGAAAACACACTGGTATTTCAGATGAAAGAAGACAACTGATTTGTACTAAGAATTCAGTTTTCATTTGCTTTCCTTGTTAGTTGGCTTCTGGTTCTGACTTTTCTTTCTGACAGAAAGTTGTCTCAACTGAGCTGTTCATGTTGATGCTTAGAATGCTGACATTCCTTTTGTGAGTTAATTTCGTTGGACAATCTGTGTAAAATACAGAACTAGATTTTCCTCCAAAACGCAGCACTCTGCATTTCTGAACAGCTGGCATTTTGAGCTTCTCTTGCCTACCTTGTTTGGACTAGGTGAGTGGGTAGAAAAATGGTAACTGAAACTAGATGTTCCTGTTTAGCTTGTTCAGTTTTTTTCCTGAAGTGGATCAGAGCTCAGTTTGATCTTTATAGCTTTTGGTGATCTGAAAGTCAAGGTATTTCACTGCTCAACATTTATTTCTAGCTTGTCTCAAGTATTGTTTAATTAGATACATAAATAGGAGATCAGGAGCCTTACTATACATAGAATAATGTATGGTTTAAAATGTTGTTTAGTTTTTCATCAAAAAGTGAGAAAACTGAAAAATTTTTAAGGAACATTTTACAGAAAAGAAATTCATGAACAGTATCATGGATCCTTGCAAAGTCAAGTTGTCAAGTTGGAT